CTAGCTGCATTTTTTTTTTTTGATAGTTCTTAGCAAAGGCATGGTTTTAATGTGAAAATTACGATGACATTAAGACTACAGGGTATTCCAAACTTTCACCAAAATAACAACATTTTGTGTTCCCTTGTATAGTTGACAGATCAGAACTTTAATTTTTAATTTAGAAAGAGATACTAAAAAGTCATTAATAAGTTATCTACAAATTGCTTAAACATCAAAATCAAATAATCATAATAAGTCAGTAATAAACCATTCTTAAATTATAAACAAACTGACATTACTTTTAAATTACTTTTAATCTCATTTTCTGGGTTAAACTAACCAGGCACATACGAAAAAAAGTAATAACCTCTTAACTCATATATGGGCTAACATTTACAGCTTCAATACCAAACAAGACAAAAAAAGATAATTGATTCGATTATTCTATCAAATCGAATGCCAAATTTCGATAAGCAAATAATGTATGCAGGTTTAAACTGACATTGACCTCAAACTACCAATAAGCGAGTGTTGTTTAGGGACGTACAAAAATATCGATATACTGAAAATTCGATGTTATAAGTGTTGTACAGGTGTCCCATTTTGGTTGAAATCATACGCTATCTCCGTTATTAGTGAAGATAGAAGGGTGCGGTTTGCACAAACCTGTCCCACTTTCTACGGCACGAAGATACCGTAAACAAAATTTTCATAACCTTCTTCGTTTCTGAGCTACAGGGTCTTTTTGAAAATTTTGCAATTTGGGACACCCCCGTGTCTCTGTTATTGTGAAAGGTATCGAGAAGGTGAAAACTGTTTATTGTAGAACTTTTTACGTAGAATACAGTGGCGTAGCCTGTTATTCTACAAAAGCAATATTTCTAAAGATATGAACTACAGTTATGTTTTCTTAAATGGAACATCCTGTATATTTATAAATTATATGATCTGGCTTGCAATAAGCTTCTCAAAAATATATATCACTCGATTTATTTTCACTATTTACTGCAATATTTAAAAGTTTTTTATTAAAAGATCATATTTATTAGTAGGCCATGATTGGTAATAAAATAAACTAAAGAATTATTAACACTATCTGTCTATCTAACTTAACTCTCTACCGCTATTTGTAAATCTTGGAAGCTATCGTACCAGAATAGATATTCCTTTAGCTAATTTACGTGAAGTATACTTTCAGCAAGATGGGGTCCCTCTCACAACTTTGAAAATATTAGAATTTTGTTAAATTAATATTTTCCAAATAGGTGAATTGGAACCAATAGACTCATACGATGGCATCCCTGATTCCCGGATTTGTCCGTTCTCGATTTGTGTATTTGGGTATTTTTGAAATATGGATATATCGTGGCAACTACAACAATGTCGAACACCTGGACAAAGCTTTAATAATGCAAGCTATTAGTGCAAGCTTTTAGATATTTGCAAACCCCCATCCCTTTATAATAAATTCCGTTAAGGACGGTCCACACTTGCTATATAACACTGCTATATATAGCAAAGTTATATAACATGTTACATATTTTTTAGACATATTTAGCAAATTTCGCTGCTATATAACTTGCTAGATATTATCCATTTGTAGTCGGTAAAGATCAAAAGATGTTGCGTAACACTAACACTGCTATTGTAACATGAAACAACGCGTCCAGACTTGCTATATTTCTGGTTAGCCGCTCATATTTTCAGGGACGTACGCGACAGAATCTTAGTGTGGTGAGCTGATATTGGTTTATTTATTTATTGGCCAATAATACCGTATGATCGAAAAAAAACTGCATCCAGTCGGCCTCTCGTCTAGTTGGCTTGGACATGACGATCGATGACATTCCCCATATAATTTTCCATATAGAATGACTATTTGAGTAAATACCATTTTCATTTTTTTGTTATTTCTCACGGCCTACTAATAATAAAATTATATATTTTAAATTTTCTTTTTAATTTATAGCAATATTATTTGCAATAACATAGCTATAAAAAAGTTAAATTATAGATTTCAAAAAATCATGGAAGATATACGATAAAATCACCCATACATCGATATTTCTTTCTTAAGAATATCCCTAATACTGGCTTAGGAGAAATAGTCGGCGTATTCTTTCAATTTGTTTCTTCGTTAATCAGTTGAAAGCAAAAAAAACACATAAATTAGACCGCGTGTCGATTGTTTTTACGAAACCCTCCATCTACATTCGTTTAGTAATTTCCTTTACACCTTTCGGCTGTGTTTCTAAACAGGCCATTGTTTATTTTTGACAAATGGGTTTTAAATCGACTCGAGTGTGGATTATGGTTTATTTACATTTGGCGTTTTGTTGCCAGCGAGTACCTATTGTTTGGTTTTGCGCAGTTTTTTTACTCCAAATATTATATTTCATTTTATCAAATGAACTTTAGGTTTGGTTGCTAGGGGTTGGGATTCTGTTTGATTCTCACTCGGAGGCCTTAGGCCCATTGCGATACCCTTCTATTATTGTATATCAAGCTTTTATCTCATTATTTCTTTGCGTTAAAGTACTTCCAGCTCTTCCAGCAAAATTCCCGATGTCGCTGATGTTGGTGTCTGCTGCTTCCTCTAGTCCCTCCAAAAAACTGTATCCTAAAGTTTTGTAGCGTCAGATTTCCACTACCAGACAATGACACAGCAGGTGCTCTATGGTTTCTTCTTCCACTCCGCATTGTCTGCAGTAGTCGTCGTCGGAAATCTTCCCTCTCATGAGGTTTCCTCCCGTGGGACAGCTTCCAATGATGACACCTACCTACTACCTACTATGCGTGCTAGGTTCTTCTTATACTCTAGCAGTTATTTTGTCTTTTTACTATACAGGGTGGTCCGAACTGTATTCCGGAAACTTCGGCAACATGTTCATTAGATACATTAGAAGTTTCATTTTTATTTCAATTTTTAGTAAATAATTTCTGAAGTAAAGATCAATATTTGGATGAAAATTGGCGTCTGGGAGTTTTTTGACATGAGAAATTTGATTTTGGTGTCAATATGACTCCTAACTAATAGAGGGCGCTACCTACACGTGTTTTAACCATTTTGAAGCATAATAACTTTTTGTCCGTACCTGTATAAAAATACCGAGTGAAAAAATATACATCTCTGTGACTTTTTACGTAAAATATTTCTCTTTGTAAAAATCGCTACGAGCTATCGTTTTTACTATATTTAGAATAGAAATAGACAATACATGTCATTATTGACGAAAAATAAACACGTTGAGTAGATAGTTATTTCACTGAAATAATAAATTCAGGAAATTTTTATTTTTTTCAACTAATCATAAATTTTTCTGCAAAAAATGATGATAAAACAGTTTCTGTTGAACTTTTGTCACAAAAACATTTCAAATTTCTGATTTCAGTCTAATAACTATTTAGTCAACATGTTAATTTATTACAGTTGGGGGTTGGAACCTTCGGTGTTACACAGCAAAATAAAACACTAAATCACCACAATACACCAAAACACTAGAGTTTTAATCATCTGCTCATGATGCTACCCTGCTTAGCGAAACGTGCGTCCAGTGTAAAAGTAAAAGTGTTTTGGTGTATTAATGTGGTGATTTAGTGATTTTATTTTGATGTTAATTTATATCAATGATGACCGGTATTGATAATTTCGATTCCAAATATCTCGAAAATTATTACTCATAGCGATTTTTACCAAGAAACCTTTTTCACGTAAAAAACGTCTATACAGGTACGGACGAAAAGTTATTACTCTTCAAACCAGTTAAAAATGTGTAGGTGGCATGGCGCCCTCTAAGATGATGGTTAAACCTCTGAGATGATGGTTACTCAACAAAACTTATATATATATATATATATATATATATATATATATATATATATATATATATACTATAGAAGTTTTTAAGGTATAATAAGGTATAATTTATTTAAATAACTGTTTTACATTTCATTTAAGTTCAAAATAAGTTATTCATATACCAAATATTACAATTCAAGGTTTAAAAGTAACCGAGTAATTAGGAAATAACTTCGAAAAAGAACTTTAAATCCTTTTTTCTCAAAATATGTATTGTGACTTAATATTAGTGATGGGAAAAACCGATTAATTTTAATAATCGAGTACTCGAGTTTCCAGCGATTGCAATAACCGAGTGATCGCTCGAGCGAAATATTACTCGTATTCAAAAATACGGTTTTTCGACCATCCGTCGTGTCGCGTCGCTTGTTGTAAGTACTCGTTAACGCCAAGCGCCAAGCAGAAAGTTGCGTGCGCAGGGCACATTATCTTTCGGTAACGAATGACAAGTAGCAAGCGACGAGCGATTCGCTTAATCGCTTGATTTAGTTTATTTCAAAGCATTGTCGATATATAGGTCGTAAAATTTTGTCCCTCATATACGCAACAGATAAATATGGTTACCTATATACGGCATCGTATAAATTTGCTACCTGCAGTGTATGTAGAAAATTCGCTCGGCTTTTTATCGAGTAGGTATGTCACATTAAAATCGGATTTCAATTTATTTCATTCTAGGATCGCTTGCGTTCGTCGCTTGTAACTCGTCATTTGCATCGCTCGTTCATAATCGAGCGATGTCTGTTATTTCAATAATCGAGTACCTACTCGAACGAATTTTCGCTCGAGTTATCACATCACTACTTAATATAGTGTGCTTCTGGGGTACAGATACGTAAATATACTGCATGGAATCTGCATTTAAACGAAATTTCTATGATTTACAGAATCCAGAGATACTCAACGCACACTTGCAGAACCTTGTATAAAAAATATTGATCTACTGCAAGAGAGTCTAATTAGCAAGCTTATGGTGCTTGCACAGTAAACAATTTTTATTTGATGTTAGATTTTTACAACTTTTCGTTTAATTAAATCTCGAAAACAAAAACGAGGGAGATCTTGTAAATTTCCAAACATTTCCCGTAATTTTTTAATCTAGGAATTTAATTAGTAGAATGAAGGGAAATTTTATGTTCTTTTTTTGTTTATTTTTCAGGGATCTCCGCATTTGAAGAGGCATCCTTACAGTAGGCATACATCTATTACACCGGAATATAGGTCAAGCCTTACATCTATAAATTGTAAGTTTTATTTTTTTTATTAAGATTTTATTAAATATAATATGAATTATACTGAAAAAATATAAACACTAGTTCACCACAATACATTTAACATAATATTTATGTTAAATGTATTGTGGTGAACTAAGTGACACTGAAAATGCAATATCTATGAAGATTATTTTTCAGTTTAATCTGAAGGCCGTACAGAAAAGTCCGATTTTTTCTCTTTGAAAATTTTCATTTTTCTTTCATCTTTTTTTTAATTTTACCATGGAAAGCCTGTGGTTTCATAAACTATCATATACAGGGTGGCGCCTCTCATACGCCGCGGAAGCTCCAAGGAGAACGGTAGTTTATATAGAAATGAAATTTTGGCAGCATTAGTAGATTAACTGAAAGCATTTTATAAAAATATATAGAATTATACAGGGTGTCCCCAAAAAAAGTACACATCAAAGTTGTGTTTTTTCTAATGGAATTATTTCCCTATATATTAATTGATTTTCGGATTCTAGGAAAAAAATAAAGGTAAACTTTTTTTGGTAGCTTTTATTGTAATTTAAAAATTGTTCTTTATTTCTAGAAAATGTTAAATATGTCAAAACCCTTACATTTTAGTCATATACTTCTCTTATAAAACTCACCTTTATTTTTCTCCCAGAATCCGAAAATCGATTAATATATAGGGTGTTCCATTACAAAAAACACAACTTTGATAGGTAACTTTTTGGGGGACACCCTGTAGAACTCTCTATATTTTTAAAAAGTGCTCCGAATTAACCTACATATGCTCACAAAATTTCATTTCAATATAAACTGTCGTTCTGCTTGGAGCCTCCGCGGCGTATAGTAGTTGCCACCCTGTACATACATATAATATGTATATACAGGGTGTCCCAGAAATAAGTGCAAGTATTTTAACTGGTAGTATAGTTCAACCTCAGAAACACGCCTATAAGGTTTTTTTCGCGAAAAAAAAAATTGGAAACTTAAAAAAAAAATTTGATTTTTTTTTAGTTTTTAGTTAAAATACATAATTTCTTGATAATATGGCAACATATGTATTACATTAAAGAAAATTAATTACAAGAAAGAAAATCCAGAAAAGATCCAGGGGTTCTCAAAATTTCAGCAAAAAATCTTTTTTTTTTTGAAATTTTCAAAAACTCCGTTATTTTGGACTTATTTGAAAAACGATAAAGAGAAAATATGTTTCTTTTATCGAGATCTACCAGCCCTTAAAATACTTGCACTTATTTCTGGGACACCCTGTATAATATTTGTTTTTTGTTCTGTCTGAGTCTTACAGTTCACTGAATTACATAGAATTATTCTGTAAACTTTGATTTTACTATTGAAAACTTTTAAGATGTTTGTAAACTTCGATTATAGTATCAAGAAAGATTTTAACATCCAGAAAATGACAGAAAATACGATATGTTTGTGAATATGACACAACAGTTACTGTCATGCATCCCGTTGTACATATCAATCAGTTTATTTGTTGTACTAATCGTTGTGATTGAAGTATTTGAAATAAATATAAACTCAAAAGAGGCTTAAAATATACAAAACTAATTTTCTACGTCCAGACGTGTAAAAAAATTTAGAAAATTAGTTGATTTAGAAAATTAATTTTCTACGTGTAGAAAATACCGTAGAAAATATAAAATTTTATACCTACCCAACCCTGTGCTATGTCGTAATTGACATCAAAAATTAAATTAAATTTTCCCATGATATTTCCCATATTTTTTATTCATCTTTCGATATTTTTTTACTTCCAATAAACATAAATTCGATAAAGAATTCTTTAGCACTGGATTGTAACTAAATTGTCCCTTTTTCAGGTCTAAAGGACAATTCTGCCTCATCATTACCTTCCCTTTCTCATATTATCAGCCAGGACAATGTGGAAACATTATCGGGAAGCAGTCCTGAAACTGTTGGGTAAGCATTTTTTGATATTTTCATCTCATAAAGAATTTGTTATTTTTCTGAAATTATTTTCACTAATAATAATAAAGAGGAATTTTATTTCTACTAACTATTTCATATTTCTTCATGAATATATTTAAAATAAGTTTAAAATTATATTTGTTTCATTTTTGACAATGGTTATGCGTAGAAAATTTCGTTGACTTGGTAATTCAGTTGCCATGGTAACTCAGCAAAATAGGAACTTAAGTTTGAAGCGGTCACTTTTGTATTAAAAAATTTTGTCAGTTAAAAATAGTATTTTAAATTAAACAAATTAAATACAGGGTGGCCCATCGAAAACGTTCCGCAAGGCATAACGGCCAGGGTATTTTATTTTCCAAAAAATCCAAAAACACGTCAATTTTGTTTGTGAGGGGGACAGCTTTTGCCCCAAAAATGATCGCAAAATCTTCAACCCTCTAAGCGGGGGTGTCATCCCCCAACTTTTTTCAAATGGGAAGGGGGGTCAAGTTTCGCCGCATTGAAAAGAGCTTTCTATTCTCTATATTTCCCCGCCTCGTTTTTGAAAATCGATCAAGTCATTGAAAAAATATGAAGGATTGAAATTTGAAAAGTTTATTTAAACATTTATCAGAGTAAATGATATGGATAAATTCCTTCGACCAATTTGCTGTGTTTTCTTATTATTTCTAGATGTTTACGCATTCTTTCACTTGCCACAAGGTTTGAAATTTAAAAAGTTTATTTAAACATGTATCAGAGTAAATGATAAGGATAAATTCCTTCCACGAATTTGAGGTTTTTTCTTATTATTTCTAGATGTTTACGATGCTAAGATGTTATTTTTTCACTTGCCACAAGGTTGAACGATCAGGTGCTGTAGTTGCTAGATAGCTGTTCTGTGACTTGTGCGTTGAATATTGTCTCAATATCGTTAAACTGACCCACAATAGAATTTCCAAAAATACCAGCCCACACGTTCAATTTCTGAGGATTTTGTGTGTGCACCTCGTGAAAAACCCTGGGGTTGTCCTCAGCCCAGTACCGACAGTTGTGCCGATTAACTACACCGTTCAAAAAGAAAGTACACTCATCCGAAAAACAAACATTAAATAGGAAATTATTATCATTCGCCACTCGTTCACTCATAGTTTCACAAAATTGCAAGCGACGATCAAAATCGTCTTCGTTGAGTTCTTGTACCAACTGAATTTTGTACGGGTGTAACTTGTTTTTTTAATATCCTTTGGACACTTGTACGATTCACGCCGGTCTCATTGGCTAATTTTCTTGTACTCAGCGTACTATCCATGGCAACTTGGCCCAGTACGAATACCTCCATAGCTTCATTTACTACAGGACTTTCCTTCTGCCTCTTTTTATTTATAACGGAACCAGTTTCGCGAAATTTTGCTACTAACGCGCGAACAATTTTGCCATAAAAGTGTTTGTCAGGATGGCGTTCATTGAATATCTGCGCAACCATATTGCCACGTTCATTATTTTTAAAATAAAGTTCGATTATTTCCACTTTTTTTTCAAGTGAGTACACCATAATTGTTAAAAAGTTAAACGATATTGAGAACTTCAACGCATAAGTCACAGAACAGCTATCTAGCAACTACCGCACCTGATCGTTCAACCTTGTGGCAAGTGAAAAAATGTGCAAACATCTAGAAATAATAAGAAAAAACAGCAAATTGGTCGAAGGAATTTATCCATATCATTTACTCTGATAAATATTTAAATAAACTTTTCAAATTTCAATCCGTCATATTTTCTCAATGACTCGACCGATTTTCAAAAATGAAGCGGGAAAGTATAGAGAATAGAAAGCCCTTTTCATTGCTGTATCACTTGACCCCCCTTTCCATTTGAAAAAAATTGGGGGATGACACCCCCTCTTAGAGGGTCGAAGATTTTGGAATCATTTTTGGCGCAAAAGTTGTCCCCCTCACAAACAAAATTGACGTGTTTTTGAATTTTCTGAAAAAAAATTACCCTAGCCGTTATGCCTTGCGGAACGTTTTCGATGGGCCACCCTGTATAGTGTGCCATAGCTGTGTTAAAACCACTCATTTAAATCTAGGAGCCGTGGAAAAATATATTTTAAATTTATTTTAAAGTTATTATTATTAATTTATTCTAAAGGTATTCGTATCTTTCCTGACCGGTAAAAAGATGCTCAAATGGTATTTTTAAAAATAACTCAATTTTTTCAATAGCATATTTTTATGAATAATTTGGTACTACACACTTGGCATTTCGAGTCAAAGGGTCGTTACATTTACGGCCATCGCTCTAAATAATTGAAATTTGCTGAAAAAGTTTGCTACAAAATGTCATAAGTTGGCGTATATATTATGTCATTCCATTCAGCAAAAAAATATTCAATGCTTGTCAAATAAAGTAAAAAACCGAGTATCTATACGATTTAAAAATCAGAAGTTGTAATCATTTTCGGTAAAACAGAAAGTGAACAAAATAAATTGAATATGTCAATCGGTCGTCCTTTATGCAGTCGTGTTTTTATGTGGAAAACTAAAAAAGCTATAGGGGTAAGCCACTTTTGAAAAACACCCGGTATATATACCGGGTGCGTCTCGAAAATGGCTCACCCCTGTAACTTGTTTATCCTTTGAGATAAAAAAATGAGATTTGGTGTGTTGGTATATGACATAAATTAGGATTGATTGACGTATTCAATTGTTTTCGGGTACTTCTTGTTCACCGGAAATGACTACAACTTTCGATTTTTAAATGACATCCTCGGTATATTTCTTCTTTATTGGATAGAAAGTGACACTTTGAATAGAATGACATATGTATATAAACTTTTGACACTTCACTTGAAAAAAAATGCATTTTAAATTTCAATCTAGAGTGGTTGTCGGCTGTGTTAAAAACGCTAATTTTTGATCAAAAAGCCTTGGAAAAATAGTTTTGATCGTCTATGTTTTTCGTGCTTTGTCCTGGACGGTTAAACTATGCCCAAATTTTATTTTTAATCTTATCTCAATTTTTTCAAATGGAACAAGAGTGGCTCATTCGCATATTTAGAAAAAGCATTTTTTACGAATAATTTGGTACCACACACTTGGTATTTCATTGAAGTCAAATTGTCGTTAGGAACCACATGTTACAATTTCAAATAAACCATATGCAAAAATGTCAAAAGTTGACATATAATATGTCATTCTATTCAGAGTGTCATTTTCTGTCAAATAAAGTAGAAATATACTGTTGTAGTCATTTCCGGTGGATCAGGAAGTGACCAAAAACAATTAAATATATATTTATTTATATCGCCTATCTCAAAACTATACGAAAAACCTCTAAATTTTTGCTTAATGCGTAAATTATGTTTTCTACTATCTTACGTACTACTACGACCCGTTACACACTATAAATATGTTAGTGGCATTGGGTTTATTTTGATATCGTTTTGTAAATAAAAACTGTCAGATTACACAGAGAAATATGCTTTTTTATTGGCCAATAAATAACAGCTGCTCGGAAAAATTAGTTAACAACTTCAGTAGGACAGAGAGATATTCCTAGTTTCAATCGTTTACGAAGAATGTCGCCAAAAAAGACACTTAAACGTCATAATAACCTTGTTTTTAAAAATTACAAGAAACTAATGAAAAATTTGATCATACGATGTTTCTTTCAGTTGTTTCTGCGATAACATGAACAATGTAGGTACCATACAAACGAAAAAAAAAACGGCGTCAAAGACGGCGGGGGGATGACAATCCATGATAATTTTGGCGAGGTCAAGCCCTAAACTTTATTTTTTAATGGTGCTTACTGCCAGTTAGCTCTAAGAACGTTTTAATTTATTTTTTTTTATTTAGTAAAAATGATTTTCAAACGGTGCAGTTTAACATTCGAGAAAAAAATATTTTTTTGGAAATAGATTTGTATGTCTGGAAACGTTCTATCCTTTTTTAATCATTCCATAATTTGAGTTAATTTTTGACAAATTTTATGTCAATTTTTGTAAGAGATTGTCATTCCTCCGCCGTTTATGACGCCGTTTTTTTCGATCACATGGTATTATTCATTGGAGAAAATATTTTTTATATATTTTTTGTTGTAAGGTAATTATATTTTTTATTTACTTAAAAACAGTTATTTGTTTCATAAAGTAGGCTTTGTGTAAACAAAATTAATAAGAAAACCTAAGTAAACAACTTGGTTTCCGAATATCAAAGAATTTGTGGTACATATAACCAGAAAGACTTTAGTAAAAAATATGGAAAAAATTGTTTACAATGTTTTCCATATCAGTGCTCTAATTGTATTTTTGTAAAACATTTAATATTTGTTCAGAAATATGGCTTAGTCCTATGGTAATCTGTGGTAATATAGTCCTCTATGGTAATATAATTTCGATTTTGTTCTTTGATAGATAGTTATTATCAGTTATTATGAACTTTGATTAATGTCATATTTTTTGCGGTTGCTAAAGTCATAAAAGAAACATGTGTACAGGGTGAGTCAAATTCGACGCTTTTAAATGGAAACACCCTTTTCTATAGGAGATAGACGAAAACTAGTATCGGTGTCTGGAGCTCAATTATCTGCTACCGTTTCGGAGTTACGGGGTGTTTTTCAAAAATGTGCATTTTTAACAAATAGCTGTAACTTTTTTGCTATGGAAAATTTTGTATTTCTTTGAAAACATTTCCAAAGCACCTTTTTACGTAGAATTTAATGGCTTAAGTATATATTTTTTTTAAATTAACAAATTAAGAGTTATCAACAAAAACATTGATTTTTTATTTGGGACACCCTTTATATTTTTAATTAACCGAAAAGAATTTAAAATTACCTTTCCAAAAATATAGCGCACTTGATATTTTGTTATAATCCCCTTCGAAATACAGAATTTTTAAAAAGTTCGCTACTTTTAACTAGTAGGCTTTGGACCCCTTATTGATGATATGCCCCTAATGGAACTCGAAAACATATTTTTCCAGCAAGACGACGCACCGCCTTTGAACGCTGAAGTTGTCAGCAAATTTTTGCAGCCAATTTCAAGAATAATTGGATAGCTAACCAAGATCCCAGCCGTTGGCCGTCGAGGCCGCCTGACTTAGTACCCATGGATCTAATCCTATGGATATATTTGCGGAAGAATAAAGGTTCCTTATTTTTCCGTATAATCTAGACAAGAATTAAAAATATTTAGCAGTTATGAGAAGGTATCTTTCACCTCCAATGAGTTAATGAATTCCGCGAGAAATGTTCAAAAACTGCCCCGTCTGTCTGTAACAGAAGACGGTCGATATGTCGAACACCGAACACCTGTAGCAAACTCTCATGTCTTGGTTTGCTATTTGTTTTTATTGTTATTAGACATAGTTTAAATGTGTTGATGTTGGTTAAATATATTTTAAATTGTTATAAAATTCTGCATCTCTCATAGCAAATATTATTTTCGTTTTAATTGATGCTTAATGCTCACAGCTAGAATTTTTTTTGCATTACAGGCGGTGCCGTTCAAAGCCTACTTATTTAAAGCGGGCGAATTTTTATATACTCTATATCTCGAAGAGGAATCGAGCAAAATATCAAGTGTGTTATATTTTTGGAAAGATAATTTTAAATTATTTTCAATAAATCAAAAATATACAGGGTGTCCCATATAAAAAATCAAATTTTCTGTTGATAATTCTTAAATTATTAATTTTAAAAAAATTATACTTAAACCATTAAATTCTACGTGAAAAGGTGCTGTGGAAATGTTTTCATAAAAATACAAAATTTTCCATAGCAAAAAAGTTACAGCGATTTGTTAAAAATGCATATTTTTGAAAAACTCCCCGTAACTCCGAAACGGTAACAAATATCGATATGCGGTTTTCACCATCATGTTTTTGACAAAAATTTAGCTCCAGACACCGATATTTAGTTTTTATCTATCTCCTATAGAAAAGGGTGTTTCCATTTAAAAGCGTCGAATTTGACCCACCCTGTACAGTACGTCTGTCCGTTCTGTAGCTACGGGGTATCCGTGAGAGGGGAAACGATATTCTCTCGATGTTTTTCGTAAAAAATAGACGACGCGTCCCATCAATAAAAATTCAACAAATTTGCAAGTAGCCAATAAAATGAGTGGGTGGAGTGATTTGCGGTGACGCACTCGTCAAATCGACGTATAAAATATATTGCTGTTTATTTAAATGTTTTTTGTCCGCATTCCTTTCATAGACACAGATCCAGCAGATGTACTGTATACTGCGTGTTCGGCTTTCCGCCAAAACTTATAACTGTTTTGGAGCGCATACGTTGTGGGAGGCGCTGCTGCAAACAAGAACAAAAATAAATTTCTCTTGTCAAAGTCAGAATCTTCAAAAATTATAAAATTCTTCAAAATTGAAACCGCCCTCATTGAAAAATTACCGAAAAGTGTCTAAAGCATCCATTTGCAAAGTAATTATTGCTATCTTGTGAGTTTAATTTAAATTTGAATAACCCAAACCCGTGATAATTGTGAAAACGTGGCATTAAAAACTTAAAAAGCTGTGTGAACTGTGAACTGCAAAAACCATCGTGGATCGTGGCACAACGTCGGTTTTCAATGTTTCATAGGTACTTCTCATACGTGTCCTTACATAAAATAAAGTTACTTACATGCAACACACTGTATTTTCACACAAAAAAACAATAAAATGTAGGTACATTCCATCTCGAAAAATAAGCATTATTGTAATTGTTATTATCATACGGTAGAAAGAATACTTCTTCATAGTTTATTGTGGGGATTTTTATATAGACAAATATTAATAAATATTAACCACATTATTAAAAAATATGGAATAAAAAATATTTGACTTTCTAAATTAAGCTGTTCCTGTATTTAACGTTCCATTTAATGAGATGTTTATTTTGCAGCAATTGTTGTTCTTTTGAGGGTTAATCATGTTATTGTACGAAATGTGGAGATATTCCCACGTATATTGATTTAGCCAATGGAATATAATTGTTTTAATTATAGACATTATATTAATTAATAATGTATACAGATGACGCATATCTCCATTTTCACCTGCAAAATAGCTCAGAAAACAGAAAACTGAAAAAAACTAGTTTTGTTGCTTTTTTGAGAGAGTCTTTTGAAAACTATCAGTTTTCTACTCGGTTTTCCGTTTTATCTGACAGGTAAAACGTTATGTGCAGACGTAGCATTACTGATTTAAATCATCTTCGTCATCATTTTCAGCTTATTCAACCATTTCCAATGGTTGTGGTCCGTCTGTTGTCCGCCCTTCTTGCCAGATGTTCTTCCCATTGCCATTTGAGGGATTTGACTCTGTGGATCACATCTCCTACCTGGGTCTTTGAGTCGTATCCACTCTATTCCTTTACGGTCTCTCTTGGTTATTCCCAGCATATTTCATTCCATTGAGCCTTGTGCTACCAGCAGTTTCCTTATGATGTCCCTTTTAAGTGTCCAGGTTTCGCATGCATATGCCATGACTGATAGTACACATTGGTTGAATGTTTTCTACTTTAGATAGAGTGGCATTCTAGTTTTAAATATGATTGAGTTTCTTCCATAAGTACTCCATGCTAACTTAATTCTTCTGTTGATTTCTGGTAGTAAAGATCCTGAGCTGTGTATTAGTTGTTCCAAATATGTATATTCTTCTACTATTTTCAGTGTTGTGTTATTTATTAGAATGTCCTTTCTTTCCATTAGTTCGTTGTACATTAATTTAGTTTTTGCTAAATTTATTTTGAGACCCACTTTATTGCTGGCTGTAATTCATTAGTTTGTGCTTTTAGTTCTTCAGGACTATTGGCAATTAGAACTGATTTAAATATAGGTGGGCAAGTATAGCACTAAATGTAAATAAAAAATAAATAATTTTATTATATATTACTCATAGGGAATAAGATGTGAAATGACCAGTATAAAATAAATTACAATATACATATATTTCATAGAGTTATAATTAGAGGTGGGTTGTGAAATCGCAGTCCGCTACTTTGTCACAGCTCCACCAACGTCGCAGTATGTGACTGCTCCAGTTCCAAGAAAATCGCAGTGACATTTCGGAGCAGTTTACAAGTTTAAGACATCTGCGCTCGTGATAGCTAGCAATAGGAGTAATAGCAGGCAATAGTGTAAATTCTGAAAATGCTCCTAGCCCCGTCGCCCGGTCAGACTGTTCCAGTCACAGTCAAATTTTATATTTTAATAAAAATAGTTGCTTCCTTTTGTGTTTATATGGCGTATATACCAGGTAATAAATCTATCTTTTGTTACGTTATAATATGAGAGTTGTAAATAAAATATAGGTGAGAAAAAGCGGAATTTCCACATAAGCTGATTTATTATGTTTTGTTATTCTTTTTTTTTCTGATATATGAAAGTAAATGTGCTAAGGAAAATATTATACATTATTATGTTTTGTGAATTTGACGGCTACAAATTCAGTTTGTAAAGGTCAAAAAAATATTATTAAACAAGAAAAAAGTGGAAAATGACTTTTGTGTCTAAAATTCTATTTTATAAAGGTTGAGTCTTAAATAAGTGCAAATATTTTTTGGGGTATTCGACCCCAGAGAGACGACTATGAGGTTTTTCGCAAAATTTTTTTTTGCAAAATTTTTGAAAAAACATTTTGGATGTTTTCTTTAACTATCCCAGACGATTCTATAGCGTTTTCTAGTCCTTGTTTTGATCTCTCCCTTCAGCTTGGCGATTAGCTAATCAATTAAGAAATAGGATACGTCAGTATCGTTTGTATGTGGGTCACTAGATATTTACTGTTTATTTGTCCCTACGTTCTATCAGCTGCCATCAAAATAGCCACATCACCCTTATATACGACAGTTTAGATACCCCTGAATCAATTCTACGTATATTATTTCCATATTATCAAGGTTAGTAGTATTAAAGAGGGATGTTTGTTAAGAGTAAATATGTTAAGGCTTAGAGAAATAAGTAACAATAGATGCACTCGAAAATGAGATTTTGTTTTTGTCAATCTGGTTGTACGAATGACTGATTGACAGAATGATCTGGAACGATTGAGACCAATCAGGACTTAAATTTACATTTCAATTCAAGCTTTTCTACTATTTTTTGTTGAGTTTTTATTATGTATTCTCTAGTATGTTCTCTTCTTCATACTAGAGAATACATACACAAGAGAACATAGTCTTAGATGATGGAAGCGTGATAAAAAACTATGACAAATATAAATATTTTGGATTAAAAATAACTAACGATGGAAAACTCGATGAGGGTATAAAAGATCGAATAATGCAAGGCAGGAGGGCAATATCTATGTTGAATGGTGTACTGTGGGATCAAGGAATCACTAAAGCTAATAAGAAGAACATATATAATACGGTAGTGAAAAGCATAATAACTTACGGAAGCGAAGTATGACAGTTGAAAAGCAGAACAGAGAACATGTCAATTCCAGGCAAAGTACGTCACTCTTTCATTTTATTTAATAAAATAATTAAGGCTATTTACAAATTTAGCGCTTGATTTACATAACCTCTACTTCCCAAATTTCTCTAATATTGCTCAAAATAAGTCACGATAAAAAATATTTTTAACACAACGTAGGTTCCTTTATTTCATTTAAATTGTTTGTTATACATGCCGAAATCTTACCTCTTCAACTTCGTTGAACGATCTTGGGTTGTTATACTACACTATCTCTAATGATTTTTACTAGTTCTAATTGTGCGTTTCTGTTTCAGTCGACGTCATCACAGTATTTATTGTGATGACGGTCAGAACAATCAGAGCAGCTTCAGATCGGCGGGAAGTGGAGGGGGATACAGCAAGTTAAGACGTCACAACGCCACAAGGCAGAAAATTCGGCATCCTGCAACCTTTATCGAGAACCGACAGAGATCTTCATCGGAGATAGACAGAAAGGTAAGGGCTCGCAATACCGGCAATTTCAGTTAGGTGGGTTTATACCGGGGTAAATCAAAACTTCGTTTTTTGCAATAAATTCAACACCCTGTGGAAAAAACGGGACGGACATTTTGAATAAAAAAACACTTTCCTATAATTTTAGATGTATTTCTAACATTTAATTTGTTGATTTATCCTATTATTTCTATTCTTTTATGAGCTACACATTTGTAAATAAAGTACAGATATTTTTTGGCCACGAAGGCTTCTAAAACGGGACAACTGCTTCTAAAACAGGACAAACTGGACACCAGCGGGACGACGAATAAGGGGTAGACCACGCAAGAGCTGGAGAGAAGGAATAGACAAGGAACTAAAATAACGAGAGCTTGAAGATGCGACCTCTGGATAGATATGGATTAATGGCGACTGAGCATCGGAATCCGTCGAAGAACGTTTTAAAACCGATTGATATATTATATATACTGATATTTTTACAATCTTGAATTTGTTGAAAATGGAGTTCTCAATGCCCACCGTTATATTGAGGATGTTCTCCAAGATGTTGTCGTTCCATTCGCTCCTTTTATTGGAAATCAGTTTTTACTGATACATGATAATGCCAGGCCCCACGTTGCCCCTCGGGGTAACGAGTTAGGAGTACGAGTAGTTAACGAGTACATAGATGAGGTTGGATTACGAAGATTGGAATGGCCTCCTTGTAGTCCCGATTTCAATCCAATCGAACGTTTGTGCTATGAACTTAAAAGAGCTGTTCGTCGTCGTCCTATTCCACCTCAAACTTTACAAGAGCTATGGCTAGCGTTAACGGAGGAATCTCCGTTAATACTAGCCTTTTTTTTGATCTAATAACAAGAGCAAAATAAAAACACTAAATCACCACAATACACCAAAACACTTTTACTTTTACACTGGACGCGTGTTTCGCTAACCATGTTATCATCATCAGCAGATGATTATAAACTAAAGTACAAACTACAAGTTGAGCGTTTATATACTTGCTCAGTGGACACCGAGTGGGCGTGGCAAAATCTAGCCAACCGAGTCAGAGCCAACTGAGCGTAACAGTTAGATTTCCGCCACTAGAGTAGTAGGAACAAAGAACTTGGAGGAATTGGACCGTTGTCTCTGTTCATACTATCTTCACATTTATTAATTCTGATGCTTTCATATGCATCTAATTGCCTGTAATTTGAGACTTGTTTAATTCATTTTAAATTATTAAGATCTATACAATGTTCTTTATCAACAATATGTTCGGCAACGCAAGATTTATCCGGTCTACCATATCTTATCTGAGCTAAATGTTCTTTAAATCTAGTTATATTGATCTTCTAGTTTGCCCAACATATTTCTGATTACAATCTTTACAAGAAATTTCATAAATACCCGACCTTTCCAGCGGAGCTGTTTTATCCTTTGGATTACCTAATAATTGTTGTAATTTATTATTAGCACTATACACAAGTTTATAATTGACATTCTTAAAAATTCCTTTTAGACCACGGGATAACTCTCTATCAAACGGTATCGAAAAATATTTAGACATATCTTTCTCCACTTGAAAAGTCGAATTTTCAGAAATCATTAACTTATACCTACGTTTTCTAATTAATTTATCAACCAGTGAATGAGAATATCCATTACACTCAGCTACATTCCTAATGTAATCTTTTTCTATTTCATATCTTTCGTTGGAAAGTGGGAAACTAAGTAATCTATGAACTAAGAAATTTAAACTAGCCATTTTATGTTCAACACTATGAAGTGATTCATTAGGAATATATCTGCGTGTGGTCGTATTTTTCCTATAGATATCAAATTCCAACAAGAGTAACTACCCTTACTCATTCGATAATGCCGATAAATTTGTCTTTTCACTGATACCATAATTATAAAAATCGGATTACAAACTAAAAAGTTATGAAACATCAAACTTAGTCAAATTTTTAGGGTGACGGAATTTTGTGCCGGAGAGTATAGTTTTGCAGTGTATGGCAGATGCATGTGCATCTCTAATCATATGGTATGTGGAAAACAATGTAATGATCCTCTAACGTAGTTGAATAATAGAAAAGAAAACAATGGAAACTACTTTTGCATTTTCTAACACAATGGTGGCGAAACTCTTGCCTTCCTCTCAATTTCCGCGGAAAATAAAACAGATAGAAGTTCTAAAACGGGGGGGAAAATTCCAAAATTCCATTCTTTCGTCGCGCCGCTTGGGCCGCTTTCATTCATCCGGTCCAGGGCAAAAAGAGCAAAGCACTCGCGTCCTCGTCTGGCAAAGCGATCTCTTATTCACGAAGCGCGCTATTATCCAGAATACTCCAGACATGCATAAGGTGACTTTAATTTGGCTCTCTAATTGTTTTAACTGCCGAAGTTAAGATTTAATGGAGAGGTATAATTGGCTTTTTTAGTAAAATTTACTTAAATGGAGGTAGTTTGGCAGTGACAGTTTCATAATAGCAATACTGGAAAACATAATAATATTTATTAATATATTAATACCCTGTAATCTTAGATGTATTCCTAACATTTAATTTTTTGAATTATCCTGTTATTTCTATTCTTTTAGGAGCTGCACATTTTTAAATAAAGAACTGATATTTTTACAATCTTGAATTTGTTGAAAATGGAACTCTCAATGCCCACCGTTATATTGAGGATGTCTTCCAAGAAATTGTCGTTCCATTTGCTCCTGTCATTGGAAATCAGTTTATACTGATGCATGATATGCCAAACCCCACGTTGCGCGAGGTAACGAGTTAGGAGTACGAGTAGTTAACCTAAATGAGGTTGGACTACGAAGATTCGAAGGGCCTCCTAGTAGGCCTCAATCCAATCGAACATTTGTTCGATGAACTTAAAAGAGCTGTTCGTCGTCGTCCTTTTTCACCACAAACTTTATAAGGGCTATATGTAGCTAGCATTAGCGGAGGAATCTCCGTTAATTCTAACCTTAACTTTTGTCTTTACGTTTTTTTTAATCTAGTAACAACAGTAACTACCCTTATTCATTCGATATGACGAAGACTTCAAGCTGTTGCGATATTAAAATTGTTATAAACTTATTGTTTTTGTCAATGAAAGAATCCCTGAAATCAATATTTTACATAAAAATGTGTAGCTCATAAAAGAATAGAAATAACGGGATAATTCAAAAAATTAAATGTTAGTAATACATCTAAGATTAGGTACAGGAAAGTGTTTCTTATCCAAAATGACCGTCTCATTTTTTTCACAGGGTTTTTTGAATTTATTGCAAAAGACAACGTTTTGATTTACCCCGGTATAAACCCACCTAACCGAAGAGCCATTAAAATAATATAAAATAATGCTAATAAATGTATCTTCGCACTGATACCATAATCACAAAGATCGGATTACAAACATCAAACTTAGTCAAATTTTTAGGGTGGTGGAATTTTGTGCCGGGGAGTATAGTTTTGCAGTGTACGGTAGATGCATGTGCATCCCTAATCATATGATATGTGGAAAACAATGTAATGATCCTCTAACGTGTTTGAATAATTGAAAAGAAAACAATGGAAACTACCTTTGCCAAATTCAGACATACATTTTCTAACACAATGGTGGCGAAACCCTTTCCTTCCTCTCAATTTCCACGGAAAATAAAACAAATAGAAATTCTAAAACGGGGGGGAAAATTCCAAAATTTCATTCTTTCGTCGCGTCGCTTGGGCCGCTTTCATTCATCCGGTCTAGGGCAAAAAGAGCAAAGCACTCGCGTCCTCGTCTGGCAAAGCGATCTCTTATTCACGGACCGCGCCATTATCCAGAATACTCCAGACACGCATAAGGTGACTTTAATTTAGCTCTCTAATTGTTTTAACTTCCGAGATTAAGATTTAGTGGAGAGGTATAATTGGCGGTTTTAGCAAAAAAATTAAATGGTGCTAGTTTGGCAATGACAGTTTCGTAATAGCAATACTGGAAAACATAATAAGATTTATTAATATATTAATACCCTGTAATCTTAGATGTATTCCTAACATTTAATTTTTTGAATTATCCTATTATTTCTGTTCTTTTATGAGCTACACATTTTTAAATAAAGTAGTAATATTTTTACAATCTTGAATTTGTTGAAAATGGAACTCTCAATGCCCACCGTTATATTGAGAATGTCTTCCAAGAAATTGTCGTTCCATTTGCTCCTGTCATTGGAAATCAGTTTATACTGATGCATGATATGCCAGACCCCACGTTGCGCGGGGTAACGAGTTAGGAGTACGCGTAGTTAACCTAAATGAGGTTGGACTACGAAGATTCGAATGGCCTCCTAGTAGGCCTCAATCCAATCGAACATTTGTGCAACGAACTTAAAAGAGCTGTTCGTCGTCGTCCTTTTTCACCACGAACTTTACAAGAGATATAAGTACGGAGGAATCTCCGTTAATTCTAACCTTAACTTTTGTAAAGGTTTTTTTTAATCTAGTAACAAAAGTAACTACCCTTATTCATTCGATATGACGAAGACCTCGAACTGTTGCGATATTAAAATTATTATAAAGTTATTGCTTTTGTCAATAAAAGAATCTCTGAAATCAATATTTTACTTAAAAATGTGTAGCTCATAAAAGAATAGAAATAACAGGATAACTCAAAAAATTAAATGTTAGGAATACATCTAAGATTAGGTACAGGGAAGTGTTTCTTATCCAAAATGACCGTCTCATTTTTTTCACAGGGTTTTTTGAATTTATTGCAAAAAAACAACGTTTTGATTTACCCCGGTATAAACCCACCTAACCGAAGAATATAAGCCATTAAAATAATAGAAAATAATGCCAATAAATGTATCTTCGCACTGATACCATACTCACGAAAATCCGATTACAAACATCAAACTTAGTCAAATTTTTAGGGCGATGGAATTTTGTGCCGGGAGTATAGTTTTGCAGTGTACGGTAGATGCATGATGATCCTCTTACGTATTTGAATAATTGAAAAGAAAACAATGGAAACTA